GGACGAGATGGTTCCTCGAGAGAGTCCCTCGATGAAGGATAAAAAAGAAAACAAGGATGACATTCCCGGATCCCTTTCCCAGACACGTCTTCGCTGTGAAGCTCATATGTCTACCAGATTAGATGTTCTACCAAGATTGTGAACTATGAATACAGTGCCTGCGTATATCTAAGCAAAACCAGCAAAACCCCACACATCGCGCCCTCGTCTCTGTTCTATACCAAGAGCTCGTTCCGATGTGCACGATTATGTTTTTCAACCCTCTGCAGTAATGTCAACCACGATATTAATAGCCGCCACCAAGATCTCGACAGCAATAAGTATAATCACTAAGGAAGAAAAGCATCTGTCAGCAAATAATGACCACAACCAGTAGGGAAACACAAAGTCTTGGGATTACTCACCGATCCATTCCAGCTTCTCGTCGTGGCCGTGGCTTAATTGGTCTTTGAGGACGGCGAGCAAATCGGCAATGACGTCCAGGCGCTCGGTCAGAAGCCCGACCCGCTGGTCCATCTCGAGATAGCTCCTGACAGCCTGGTAGACGGGTTCCAGCTGCGGCTCGACCCAGAAGAGCTCGGGAGTGTCCAGCACGGAGCCGTTGAGGTGGATGTTAATTCTAAGGATGAAGAGCTCGCCAATCTGCATGTTGATTTGGGACGGGTTGAGGTCGATCTTGCCGGTGAGGGCGATCTGCGTCGGGATGTCCTTGCATGTCTCAACAGTCGAAGCAATAAGCTCTTCAAATAGAGAGGTCTGGCAGGTTGGAAGTCAGTCAATTGAGTCACAGGAAAGTAGCCCATTACCACTTCTCGGCCAGGGACGAATGGGCACATACCTTGACGCTCTGGGCTAGGGCATGCGAAATAGCCAGCTTTGTCATGTAGTTGTTCTTATCCCGCAGCGTGATGAAGTCATTATAAATGCGAGCCTGGTACTCGTGCGTGTAATAAAAGTTGAAATGCTCAGTCTCGACATCGTCTGGCGCAAGCTTCTCAAGCTCGAACTTGGCAATCTCTTTCAGGAACCTGGCCTCCTGCGAAGCGGTCATGCCCCATATCACAACGACTCCATAGTCGAAAAGAAACATTTCTGGTGTGTGAACGTTTGTGTCAAAGTCGGGTGTGCTATCAATAGCGCTATCGTCGTCGATTATGCTTGGGCCCAGTAGAGTCTCGCCGCGAAGATTGCTGAGATCGGGAACAGAAGATCCGTTGGAGTGCCCATTGCTGGGGTCCTCTGGGACATCGATGAGTGTCTCCCTCCGTTGCTGCTCTTCCTGAGCGGTCTCGCTTCCAGTTGAGTGCCGGCGCTCATATGCCGTCACAGGGTCATGGCGGCTACTGACCACAGGCGGCGCCTTCACGTATTGGTAAGGAGTGTATATACACTCGTCTATGAGTTTGGGGTTTGAGGCTCTGGTTTTTGCTTTTCCTTTCAAGAAGCGCATGAGCGCCTCCATCTCATAGCGATTGGCGGTACAATACGCCGTCACTCTCGGCAGTCTGTCTCGGTCCGCTTTGCCCAACCTTGCCGCATCTCTCCTAGCTGTGGGATCTTTGATTCGGGTGTATTGGGAATAGACATCTCGGCCGCTCTCTTCATCGGGGGCATCCTCGCCAAGGTCCGGGTTCGGCAGAAGCTTCAGCTTCTCGGTCTTCTTCGTGCTTCGCTGAGGCCCAATCTTGGGACCGGAGAGATGCGCGACTGTTGGGAGAGCAGAGCTGTGGCTGTTCCTCCTCCGCAACTTGTTGTTCAGGGCAGTGAGCACCGGCGGGCCACTCGTCGTGTTACCAGGGTTGCGGGTGTCCAAGGCGGTGCTGTGCCTCTTGTTGTAAGGTCGGAGCGGTTCCGGCTCGATAGTCCTGCTAACGGGGTTGGCACTGAAGGTGACGCTTCGGTGGCTCTTGTGACGGCTGCTATCAGGGGAGTGGAGGAGGGGGGTCTCCTCGCTGGCCTGGTGTCCCGCATCTGTGGTGTTCGAGTTGGAGGCCATTGTTTATGAATTCGATCGCAACAGCTAGAGGTCCTCCCGAATATGCTGGCAAAAGCCAACGATTGAGATTCAATGCGCGGCAATCATGTCCATGGGTAAAGTGGGAAACAAATCGGACTGCCGATTTCCGTTCGGTCGGCGCGAGTCTGGTCGTATGTCGTCGAATGGTGTGGTTGGAGTCAAATTCTCCAGGCCAATGAACGATGATCGGTCCATACAAAAAAGCTACGCGGGAAACTGCATATGATGACGTTTGACACTGCAGCAACACAACACTTTGGCGCTATCAAAGGGCGGGTGTGGGGCCTGGCAATAGTGGATGCGAACCATCAAACTTCCCCGGGCCCAGTGCCTTCCGGCACGGTCTACAGTGGAGGTCTACAGTGGAGGATGGCCAAGCTCGTGCTGCTGCCCTGGTGCTCAGTTCTCGGGGCAACGCCATCACCATACACGACAAATGCGAAGCAAACGCCACGCATAGCTGTCGCATAAATTTACGGGACTCTTCTATTTTGCGGCAAGGATTAAAGAATAGATCCAAAGGTACTGGGTAAATGGCTGAGTAGGCTTCGCCCAGCTGGCTAATAACCCCAGGGGAAGAATTAGACTAGACATCACTTAAGCTTAGGTAGCAGAGGAATAGACATCATACATCCATAACCGACCGAATGTCTTCCTCTAATCTCAGGTATCAAGAGATAATCTCAGTCTCGATCTTGAAACCAGCCTTTGCAGCTCGGTCGATCAAGCCCTGCCCCAGGCATGCCGACGTGTAGATGCCACCGTCGAGCTGCACATCCTCCTCGAGAAGAGTAAGAGCCACTTGGGCCATCAGAAGTCCAGACACTGTTGTGGCAAGCTCGTCAGCAACTAATTCACCATCCAGAAAAGGCATTGAAGCCTGTTTCGGGAGTAAATCTTACAAGCATAAGGGCCGCCGAAATGGCGCACACGACAAAACGCTTTTTGGCCTGATCCGGACTTGGCATCCGGTTCAGCAGTGCCACGGTACTCAACCTCTTCCCTTGTGGCTGAAGCCCTGTCAGAGCCCTGTCCCGGTTGGTGTGTAACCCTTCTCAGCAGTGACCGTGCAAATGAGGATAGCAACAAGAGAGCCGGTCCAAGGGTCAGAAAGAAATGGAGTGCCACTCCCTGTATCCAGTTCCGGACCCTCAGGTACTCTTCAAAGGTGAAGTTGGGCCCGTAGAACTCAGCTTTTCGGCTTGGTGTCGCAGACAAGAGACCCCATGTGCGCTCAACGATGAACGCATCCGTGGACCCTGCCGGCGAAGTAGTGACTGTACCAAGGTCGGGGATATTCCTGGATCCGAATATCCTGGCCATGATACCTGGCTGGAATCTCCCCTGGCCCTCGCGAGGAACTGGAGAGCATGCATAAGGCTTGGTGGCTGCTTGTAGCTCTTTCAAGCTGAAGGTCTCGAAAACGTTCAACACAGATGCTATTGTTCCTCCGGACGCGCTTGATCTGAAATGGGAGTTAGCCACCGATCATCCCCAGTAGGCACAAAAATAAACGTTACCTAAGGGTGTGAATGGACATGATAACTCTCCCCGTCTGGGCATTGAGGTTCTCTCGGAGGCATTTGGCCATTGCCCATGAGCACAAATCAGCGGGAGCAGACTCGAGGCCAGTCTGGGGGAACATGAGCGCACCACTCGCCTTGGCCACCTTTTCATACTTGGTGATCATGTTGCCAACCCATGGGAACTCGCCCGTGCAATCAACGTAGTGTGTGCCATTCTCAGCACACGCCTTGAAAACGGTCTCGCCATATTTACTATAGGGACCAGCAGTGCTGATAACGATGAAGGTCTTCTTTGCAAGCGCAACGATCGATGCCTCATCCGTCACATCAGCAATTTCAATGGCTAAATTTCAACAATCATGATTAGTCGACATATCACAATGCTGCGGTGGGCTGTTATGGCAATTGGCCTTGCGCATCCGTTGTATTGTTCAAGGTGATGGAGTTTGCTGTGAGACGAACCTGGCTGTTCCCTGTCAGCAACCAGCTCCCGGCACGCATCGACCACAGCTTGAAGCTTCGGCTGACTCCGTCCAGCAACCGCCCACTTCAAATTTGTGGGAAGGTTCTTCGTGATGAACTCTGCAGTGTGTTTGCCGGTATATCCTAGAATTTGGACCCGATCAGCGTCTTCTTCATTAGCCCTAAATCTTGACAGAATTACCTGTTGCCCCAAATACGACCAAGTCATACTGGCGGTCATGTTTATTCAGCGACATCTTAGCTCGGTGACAGGAGCTTGGAAGACTGGATTAGATTATTAGAAGAGAGCGGAAAATACCAAATGCAGAACTCAGGATGGTAGCTCGTGAGCAGCTTGATAAGTTGGGTGCTTGCGCTAAGAAAGTGAAGCCCAGGATTTGAAAAGCCACCTGTAAACATATGTAGGTAGTCGAGTGGGTGACGGGAGAAATGAGACACTAATAGAAGAGTTGGTTGTAAATGTACCACTTTCTTCAATAAATAGAGACTTTCAGTAGTTTAGATTAAGAGAAAGTAACAATATACGCTATATTATCTCTAAAATATATTTATATTAGCACTTAATAGCCTAATAATACCGGTCGCAAACTCGAGAAAAAGCAGCTTAATGTTGGAGTGTCTCAATTTCAATGTCACCCACTTGGTAGTCTGCCACGAACCCATGAGACCCATCGCCCGTTTGGTTAGTCAGCACGACGACCGCTCAGTGAGCATCACCTTTAATCTCCTATTATCTCCACCTACAAGACTTGAATTTGCACTGTGCTTTCTCAACTTGATGCAATAATCGCTATGGTTCAGGATCCGTATGGACGCTCCAAGGGCGAGGAGCGGGCAGACTGGTCGCGCCCGGTTTCTAGCAACCCTTTCATTACCTCGACACCTGAATGCCTGCCTGATGCTTAGCCACGAAACTTGGAGAGGTCTCATGATCGCGTGGCTTGGTAGCGTCGTTTAGGGTGCTTTGTATCGACGCTCGGTCGGTGAAGATAACAGCCGTACCTGGTGAGGAAGGGAGATGCCTTGCTAGGTAGTGAAATGCACACATGAGCACGTGCAGCTCTTACGCGACCCTCCTTGAGATAATGTCAAGGTCATGAACGGAGCGGCAGAGAACTACCTATAAGGTCGTCAACTACTAGGAATGGAAAGGCCTGAAGATGCTGCGCGACCTCGTGCTTAACGTCGAAGCAGTGGCCCGAATCCACAACAGAAATTCCATATTCCAGCAAAGCGATCCATCGGTTGGATCTACCTGGCAGCCCTGTTGCCATATCCGAGGAAAAAGTGATGTGGTGACCAAACAGTACAAGGATATAAAGATGATCGAACACTTGCCCACTGCACTGCACGCAGCGATGGACGGACTTCCGGACAACAAAGTGATCCTAGTCAGAACCAGAGTCCTTATCATCCAGCCGGACAATGTCATCGAACTTACTGGTGATGACATCTAGAGGGACATTAAACTGGAGGACACTTGAAGGCTGGCTCACGTTACGGCCTGTGGAGGATGGCTTGTGCTTTGATCGACGGGGCTCGCTATCGCCGACATGTCTAGAGCTCAAGGAGTCTATCTACCTATAGAAAGCGTAGATTAGTCCTCGACAGTCAGCGAGTTGAGCATTGCCTAGTTCTCACTTTAAGCGACGAAGATCACCACTTTTATTCCTGGATTATTGGAGACTGTCCGAACTCGCCAAGTGTTGCCCACGCATGGAGGCACATTGTAGTGTCAGCATACGGAGTACATCTGTATATCCAAGGTAGTTTGCTCAGCCGCAGCCAGCACAGCCAGCTGTCACGTTTGCAAGGGAGTGAAAAGAAAAATAGGCAGACTTGTTTCTATGGCGTTAAGTACATTTGTTGGACGAACAGTCTCTTCACCTTGTCAGATATTGATGAACAAAGTCTCATCTTTGATGTTGTTTGCAACGTGCCCTTCTTGCTGCCTTTAAGGCAGAGCATATAACCAGGCCACTGATATACACTACCTCGCGAGCTATGAGCGTTCCTCGGGCTCTCGACCTCTATCGATGCCTACATTGAATTGCCGAGTTACCCTCGAGAGTCTCCCCTAAAATATCTTGCCCAAGTTTACGACAATTCGGACACTCGCTGTCGATACGTCTGTTCTGCTCGAGCCCAGACGCCTTCTGTTTCACGATTTCGTAGTTTCAAGAGGCTGGGGAGAAGCAAGCTGGCATACTCATCGCTTGCCTCGCGCGCAATCATGGTGGGGAGATGGTCAATAGCAATAATGCGCAGCTCCGGCCCGTCTGGGTTGCCCGACGCTGGAATCGTTGGGTTTTCGAAGGAGCTGTACCCGGAATAGACAGGAATCGGGTTGTTCTCGCTGTTTGGATCACAGCTCACATCGCAGATCACGCGAAGCCGCCTGTTCGGTGTCGATAAGGATTCGAGCGTGATAAAAGGCGGAGCGCGGTTTACACCCAGATAAACGCAGTTTAAGAGGATATCCACGTCGGCGATTTCGGAAAACGGTCCGCCACGGCTGGTCTCAGCCATATCCCATTTGAGAATCGATTCCTCGGGAATCCCTGCGGCAAGGCAACTTTCGGTTGCCCCTTTCCCGCAACGACCCAAAGCTCCGATGATCATGATACGGGGGTACTTGCCATCGTTCCGTGCCATTGCCTCGACAACAGAAGATCGGACGAGTTCTACCAAAGCAGATGCAGAGTCGGATGCTGGGGCTGCGCCTTGAGGAACTCCAGGGTGAAGAAGTTGATGCGCCCAGGACAACAGGGCCAGCGCAGCACCAGAAGCTGCAAAGACTGATGGATCAACATGGAGTCAAAGAAAGCTTGATGCAAAGGTTTACCAAAGAAGAATTGGCTTTCCTCAAGAACCTAGAGCCAGCTGATTTTGAGAATGAGGATTGGGTGGCCAGGTATCACCGGAAGTTTGGCCCGAGCCGAACTCGCAAGATGCTTATCGACAAATTGCGACTGGAAGCTAAAAAGCAAGATCTGCCTAATGAGGGCTAATTAGAACCTATGTCAGCAACTTAGAGTCCTGAGTTCGTAGAGCAATGCACGTCAATAGCCTCTACTACCGTGGCTGTGATTGATGTCATCGGCAATGTTTTCGCAAGGGTTGTTTTCATGTGGGATATCTTCGTGGGAAAAGGACGAAGCAAGCTCATACAATTCAATGAAATTACCTGCGTATTTAAACCGACCTGTATCCAGTGAAATACAAGGAACATTTCGCTCAGGGTAAAGCAGCACCAGCTCATGCTCCACGCTGGAAAGGGAATTGGATGGTGGCAATATCTGTCGGGAATGACTAGGTATTGGGCTAGGTACTTGAAATTGCACTCTTGGAGGAATGGGCGCTAGATTTTGTCTTTATTTGAACGTGTATGAAAACCTCGCTCCGTATGCCCATCTATGATCTCATTTTTACGATTAAACTATATCTTTACTATCCAATACACCCGTGTGGTGTTTATATCGAGTTACTCCATTCTTCATCATTGCTGAGAAAAGGCAGTATACCCAGCCGACGATAGTGTATGGGCTTGTGCTCCACGTGCTAGCGCTACGAACTGATAGGCAGACCAACTGACATAAAAGCCGTCTGTTGACTGAGAAAAAAATCAAGCGGCTGCGATGCCATCCAAACATCAGTCTACAGATAGGCGTTGGACATTGCGCAAGGCATTATGGCTTATTTTAACTTTTTGAAATGCCTCGGCATGGGAATCTGTAACCCAGATAGGTTGGTACGTACTGAAGGGGAGATTAGCGAGAATGAGATAAACACATTGAAGGTTTTGTGGTCTTGAAATGATAAAATATCGCCTTAGCAAAACCGAATGCTACCAATGATACCACTCTCACCATGCTAGTTAATTAATATCAAATTGATTAAGACTACATCCTATCGGAACTTGACGCTGCTGACCTTGATGCACAATAGTTTAGCTGTTGCGCTTGGTGGGGTTCCACAGCTCAGCCGAATAATCTTTTTTCCGAAGCCCTTCTCAGCTCCAAAATAATTGGAAGCTGCTGACTACAATTTTGGGTCCCACCAGAGCCCAATTTTGCAAGCCCACCAACTCTCACGTGCGTGCCCTAAGAAAAATCACAACCCCAACTCCCATCACAAATCCGGGTATCAGAAGCCTCATCCGCATCACACCGAACTCCTCCCCTCGAGTCGTCAAACCACACAACCTCAGACAAGATGACAAAGCGCACAAAGAAGGTCGGCGTGACGTACGTATTGATCTCGTTCAATTGTTGTCAGCCAAAGAACCAGAATGCTAACTATATCGCAGCGGTAAATACGGTACCCGGTAAGCTTCGCCAACGTCCGAATTCATTCCCTTAGCCAAGGCGTCTGCATCTCTCGACAGGAAACGATCTCGACTCTCCATGATACACCAATCTCCAGGCGTTGAGTTCCGAGAGCAATTGATCTCTTCCAGACAGCTCAAACCCGAACTCGAATCAAGGAACCTACTTCGATAATGTCCAGATTGGTTGGAGTCGAAATTCGCCATTCCCAAGGGAGATGCAGACGCTGGAGACTCGGGCTTGAAGCACAACTGCAATGCAGGCCATGCTGATATTGGATATAGTTACGGTGCCTCCCTGCGAAAGCAGGTCAAGAAGATGGAAATCACCCAGCACGCCAAGTACACTTGCACCTTCTGCGGCAAGGTCACCGTCCGCCGCCAGGCCGTTGGTATCTGGGACTGCAAGTCTTGCAAGCGAACCGTTGCCGGCGGTGCCTACACTGTCTCGTGCGTGAAGCCCCCTTCTCACCCCTCGAGTCCCCAGACGCCGTCCTCGTGGACTACGAAGATGAACAAGAGAGGAAAGACTAACTGTTCATGCAGTACTCCCGCCGCTGCCGCCATGCGATCAACTCTGCGTCGTCTGAGGGAGATTGCTGAGGTTTAAAATTGTTTTGTCGCTTATCGCTGTGACGGAAAATATTTCGGCTTTGGTTTCCGGTCTGGAGCATGGGGGATCACATGGTTTTCGTGCCTACACTACGAGTTGACGACAGGACGTCAATTTTCGGTCTGCGGTCATAGAAGCCGTTCGATTAGCAATGGAACAAAAAAGAAAAATGACTTGCATGGTTATCTCGGACGCAACCCCCAGTCGACCAGGCCACGTCGTGCCTGGAAGAACGTGACAGGTCAAATCGTTTCGCCTCGTTACAGTCTTGGCTTCGCCCATATCCACAGGATAGTGATCACCTGGCCGTATTGTTTCCGTTCACGTCGGTGCACCGGATGAAGGCTCGGTTTCTATGACGATGTATTCAACTTGTTCTGCCTGGTGAGGTAGGTGCCATCGTGAGGCTTCAAAGGAAACGCACGTGTGATTCGCATTGGGCTCCAATTCTCCAAAAGCTAGTTCACTGAGTGACTCTATTCCCTTCACCTCAGCCGCCCATGCAAGTGGATACGGCAAAGTCAACTGATCCAATCCAAACCCGTCACCGCCAAACGGTGTGTAGTTCGTAGACCCCTTTTGCTAAACGTGTTCATGCCGCAGCCTTAAAACCATGACTCAAACGGATGACGGTGTAAGATTGCAAAGAAAAAAAATCGAGGCGAATGCACATTTCCGAGCGTGAGTGAGTCTTACTTTGCAACGCATCCCCCCCACTCGCCGCCCAGAAACAGCATCGTGGGGCACGTCGGCGACTATCGACTTGAACCCATGACTCTTTTCCCCTACACCACGCGCGGTCCAACAATGGGTGTTCGTGCACGGTGAACCTGCTACGCTATGGGGTCATTCCGGGCTTCGAAATGATTATCGGAGATGTCTGTGATCTCGGACATAGTCCCAGTCGCTGCCTACATGGCTGTATTTTTAAGCACAAACCAGCCAAGGGTATCTTGCCGCGGCAGGGTACCCGCTCCAGTAGGATTGGGTCTTTTCGAGCATCTAGCCTCTAATAATCTAAAAACATGCACATCATACAACTTATGGAAGAGGAGATGGGAGAACAGAAACATGCATATCACATGTACATGGATATACCTCCATGTGTACGTGTATCAGCGTCGGGGGAATCGAGCACAGAGGCAGGCAGGCAGTGAAGCTACACATCGATCTTGGTCAATCCAGGCACGCAGCCCATTACGCCGTAATCACTGTTGATGATGACAGCCCCATTTGTAGTTAGTTTGTAATGGTAGGGTCTGACCGAAAGTCCCAGCATCGTGAGCGAGGGCGTGTACTGCGAGTGGCACGTACATACTATGTAACATTGGATGGGGAATGCTCATTTGACGAGCGGGAGCCGGCAGCCTAATAGCGGTGCTGGCAGGTTCAATCACCGAGACAGGCTCATTCTCTTCATTTATGCGTTGGCCACGATGTTCTCCGGAGCAAATAGAATGCCACGCATGCACCGGTGTTGAAGACAAGGCGGCGATGACGACTCCAGAAGCCGCGATATCGTCAGCCTGCCAACTAATGCCCCCATTGTCCCATACTTTTGTGACTGACCTTCCTTCCTCGTACCTTCACAGTAGGCGAGGCCCCCATCTCGATGCCTTGTACAGCCTGGCCGGCATTACATATAAAGGGATATACAGCCCACAAACACACGGCTAAATATGTATCTAGTGCGCTCTTGCGGGTTCATGGCGAATGGCCATGCGCTCATGACCAATACAACAAGCCCAGTCTTATGCTAGGTGCCCAGGCCAACCCCGTGAGTGGTCACACGTGCGAGCCTTTTCCCACCGCATTCCCCAGCATCATCATCAAGGTACACTCGCACTTTCATGCATGCAGCCGCACATACACACTTGCCGGTACATGCCTCCCAACCTCACCTATTATTCCTCAGTCCCGATTCCCCGTTTGGGCTTTAGCGAGGTTCCGTTGCCCGTGGAAGCCAGCAGAACGGCTGTTCCCTGTGCTTAAGCCAGCCTGAGGCCCTGAGTCAAGCACTCATATCACTATTTGCTAGCCTAGCCTGGCCTTTTTTCTCCGGGGTGGGCTTTTGTGAATCTCCAGGTCTTGCTAGGCATTCCCTTGCTCAGCACTGTCTCTCCTGCCCGCCTCCCTACCGACTAATGTTTATATGTTACTTGCAATTACTTGTCATAAACTGAGCAGTGTGACTTTTTCATGCTCACCTACCATTCTGGGGGGCAGCGTACTGTTAAACTGAAAGAGAAGGAGATAATCAAAACAAGATTTCCCGTATCGATATTACCTACCGTTACGACCCCCTGGCATTTCGTGGCTGCATACGCTCTTGGTCACTCTCCCACTCACGCTATTCCTGAGATCAGTTGTCACAGTCTCAAATCTCGTTTTTTTTTCCCACCCCCAAAAAAGCACAACAATCTGCAATCCGTGCGTTGTGCCCTTGCACGCAGTAGAGGCAGTCCGCACAGAAACACCACACCCCTCGCCCTGAGGAACCAATTGACCCTGAAACCTGGTCAAGGACGTACCGCAAACTCTTCGGTATTACGGTCAACGGCAGCTGAGCCACCCATTCTGCAAATCCAAGGGCGGGCCAGAGAGCCAAACCCCGTCTACTCGTTTACTTGCGAAACTCGACACCACACCTCACGCGCCTTTATTTAAAGCCCCCATCCCAAAGGGTGCCAAAGGGGGCCCATAATAAGGATCGCAACTTCCGGACCGGCGGCTCCCTGCAGCATCAGCGGTTGTGTTAACAAGGCCGCGTGCCGTATCATATCGCCCGCCAGCCAGAGACCGCAACAAGGTCGGCCTGCAGGTGCAACAGCCAGCCCATCGTCTGGGAGGGCCGTGCAGCAGCTGATTGGGGGGGGGGCTTGCAAATAGTACGACCCGCTCGTCAGAAGTTGTAGGTCATACTACTCATACCAGGTAAGGTACCTCGAGATAATCATGGTGGCCACCAGGTGTGCTAGGCCGCCCCTCTCTCCCAATTGAGACACACCTCACTAATACCTGGCCTTGTATTAGGTTCCGGTTGCTGGCGTCTTCAGCGCCTCGAAACCCAGTGCTCACTTCTCTCTTTCTTTCCTTCTCTTTCCCCCCCATCCCACTTGCTTGTCCTCGGGCACTGGGGCCAGGAAATCACCCATACAACCTAAAAAAGGTCGCCCCCTTCCACCACCCACAGCGGGCTGCACCCGAGCTTCCAGCACTCAACGCCCGCTGCCGCTGATGAAACACAGCTACATCACTGTTTTCCTTTCAGCAGCCCCGACCTTTCCCTGACTTCCACATTCAAACCATCATCCGCTTGCTCCCAGCCGTTTGCCTCCCCGCTGTATATCATTTTCCCCAAGCCTCCTGTTCCCCTTTTACATGTTTCCATCAAGAGCTCGCATGTATCATTGCAATCGGCATCATGTCTGAGCCTGAGCAGTGTATTATATGTCTCGAGCCGCTGCCACGTCTGCAGTCGTCAACCGCTGTAGACGTTGCAGTGCAGGTACCACCACCACCGCCCGCCTCTGAAGCTGTTGCCTCCACCAAGGTTGAGCCTACAGCACTACTACCAACGCCCACTGCCTCCACTGCACCGTCTGCAGCCGCCACCAGCGACAGTGAGAGCGCCGCCTCGGGTACAATCACGAACGGCGCTCTCATCGAAAGCGACAGCGACGACAGCCTTCTCAACATTGTCGCAGAACTGGACGGATGCGAGCATATCATTCACAATGCGTGCATCCGGTCTTGGGCCCAAAAGACCAACACCTGCCCAATTTGCCGCAAGGTCTTCCACACCATCAAAGTACTCAACGGTGTAGACGGTACGTCGTCCCTCTCCCGCCTCAGTGCACTAATGCGTGCAGCATCACGTTCATCCTGGCTAACACAATCAAACCGTGCAGGCACTTTGTTATCTACATACCACGTCGACGACAAGAAACAGGTCGCCGACTTTGACCTTCAGCAGTGGCTTGTTGAAAATGTTGAGGAGGAGGAGGAGGAGAGCTGCCCATGCCCTATCTGCAACTCATCCGAGCGGGAGGACATTCTCCTCCTTTGCGATAGCTGCGATGCAGCGTACCACACGCACTGCCTCGGGATGCAGGAAGTGCCCCAAGGCGACTGGTACTGCATGGAATGCCGACACCTCTTCCAGTTAGCCGATGATCCCCCAACGCCCGCCGACGAGATACGATCGCCCCGTCCCCGATATGCACCTCGGCCTCATCCTCGAGACTCGAGGGGCCACAACGTTCGGACTCGTGCCAACCTGAGGCGCGCACGCCAACAGGCGAGGAATTTCGAGTGGCAGGGTGCATGGGGCCACTTTGCCGGTCGCTTCTTTGACCTGAGCGATGTCGACCTCGACAATGCAGACGAGGAGGTGGAAGAGCTGGAGCAATTCAGGAGATTCCAACAGCTCGATCGACGAGAGTTGCAGAGGTGGCAACAGCGGGTAAACATTGCTAACCGCCTTGGCGCCCGAGAGACCTTTGCGAACAACATCCCGCCTCAAATCAGCGAATACCTACAACCTCCTCCTATCGAAGAAACCGTCGACGAAAGAAGAGCATGGGGCGCTCTTGAGCGAGCGAGGGAGGTCGAAGAAGGCACGCCAACAAACTCTCGCAAGCGGAAGACTCGTTCTGTGACAGCGTCCCCAGCTGAGCCAGTACAGGAGCCTGAGAGAAAGTTAAAGCGCCCTCGAACACGACGACTCCCGCCACAACAGGGCGAAGCCTCGGCGTCCGCCTCCTCGCCCGTCACATCAGGCCCGTCCAACCATCGCTTGACAAATGGCGGCCCAGCCACCCGCGTGGCTGTCACTATACCAACCGCAAATCGAGAGCTGAACCGCAATGAAAATGGTCCACCGCTGGTGTCTTCACTCCTCAAAGAGCTCGAGCCTCACGCTCACTCCGAGGACGACAACTCGGCCATAAACTCATGGTGGCAGGGCGTTCCTGAAGCATCCTCCCCAGCCTTGTCACCAGTCCACTCAGCTCATAGCAGCCCTCGCGCACTCTCCATGACCCCGCCTCCGCTGCCCAGCGTCGGCGGTCGGCCAACCTCACCAACGCTCTCGCTGAGCACACACATCGAGCCACGCTACCCGCCAGCAAATTATTCACCAACTCGCAACTCAAGCGAGCAGACCGAGCCCGAACCTAGAGTCGGTCGACCAACAGAGACTCGGACACTCGAATTGCGCCAGCCCCGACCTCGCCGGCCATCTAGGGTCACATCACGTGCAGAGGAAACATCGCCAACCCGAGCCACGATGACTCCCGAAGAGAAAAAGAACATCAACGATATTGTGAAAAACGCGCTTAGACCACATTGGCGAGCTCAAAAATTGACCTCGGATCAATATGCCACAATAAACCGAGATATTTCCCGGAAGCTTTACGAAGAAGTCGGAGACGCAACCGCGCTCGACCAAGATACTCGACGGACATGGGAGAAGAGGGTCACTCAAGAAGTAGCCCAAGCCATCGCCGGGCTCCCTGCCTGACTGCCCATCACGGACGGGAAGTCATCATTTTGCTAATGGGTTAAGGGCGGGCGTTTTTTGGGCATTTATCGGAGCTTCAATTTGGTTTTGATACCCAGCATTTTTGACCGGATTTGTACTTAAATCGAGCATCGGCGTGTCAGGGCTGGGGTTTTGTGGTTATTAATATCATGATTAGATAAAACATCGGCCTTTTTTTGAGTGCCGATGCAGGCCATAGCATTTGGGGATTGTTTCATGTATCGGAGTTGAGATAGCAAATCGACAGGTTCGAGGAACACGACAAGGGACATGGATGGAAATGTACTCTATAGTTGTCGGGAGCAAATATACATTCGGAGCGACAGGCTTTTCACGTCGCCGCATATTCAAGATGACATACTCGGTGTACCTGCGTATTTAGCAAATGCGCGACATCCAAGTTGTGGGAGTTTACCGATAATGGTTTGTGTGAAGCAGAAATAAAAACAGGACCATCAGGTAAAACTCCATTAGCATGGATCAGCGAAAATTTTCGCGGTGTGCGAGACTCAAGAAAAGCTCGGTAAATTTTTCAATTGATTTTCAATGTCGAAGCTGGTCAGCTACTTGGATGGTGGGACGATCATGAGATAAGCACATGGGAAGGAGAAAAATGTTAGCAGTATCTATCTAACAGGACCCGGTAGGAGAGGTAGAAGGATAGAACATCCTTTCAGCAGGTGCCGCTAGCGAAAAAAGACTGCATTTGGAGAGTCACTCTCGGCGCCCGTAAATGGTCAGGACGTTCTGGAGGAGGAAACAGGTCTTGACGATAAGGTAATGGTGCCTTGGAGAGAAAAAAGAGAAAGGAAGGAAAAGAGGAGAGAGAGGCCGGTCCAACTAAAAGGCGAAAGAGCTGCTGCGGGTCCCCTGGGAGAAGATGTGGCCTGGGGAATGAGGCCGCAATTTGTGTCGAGCGAGCTGTTACTAATCTTGGATGCTCAGACGTTTGGGCTTTTTTTTTACTTTCTTACCTTATGGTATGGCTTTTCAGTATTATTAGAAATAGTAGAAATATTCGTTCTCATCGTATTGCTATTGCATTCATTTCTTAGCATTCTAGCTGTCAGAATCTTTTTCATAGCCAAAAAATGAAGGGCTGAAATCAGCTCACCGCATCATCAACTACAACTGAGACATGGCGAGGATTCAATGTTCACTAGACTAACCAACAGCCTAAACCAGTAAGAATATTTATATTACCAACCTCGAAAAGTCAGGATATAAATTGTAGTCAATAAATTTTGATAAGCAAGAAATTTAAGAGCATATAATACCAATTGTTTTCATTCTGTCCCCACCTGGCACATCTTCCTGACAACTCAGTCCCAACGTACCAGCACAAGGTTAGGACGGAAAGTGTATTATGTCAGCATCAACAGCGACCCGCCAACCAACCATCGAAAAGTTCAAGACTCGAGCTACATCAAAATCGATCCCGGGCTCATTGAACCTCTCCAGAAGCCAGTAAAGAGAGTTCGACACGATGGCGGCCTCAGGAAGGGGAGCACGGGTCTTCAAAGGCTCATTAATCTGTAGGTTCTCCCCATCACCCCAATCAATGGCCCCAGACCTTGAATGTTAATTTTTTTTCCTCGTGGCTATAGCAAACCCCAGCAGCATCTGCTCAAGATGCGCAACCACCTACACAAGAACCCCCGGCCGGTTATACTCCTCGACGGCGAGCACCACGACCACCGGTGCAGCCTCTGAACAGCCGCCGACGCCCTCGCCGGGCGCCTACGACATCCGCTCCGGCCTCATCCTCACCCGTCCCCCCCTCCTCACCCGGACGCTGCACCCGTTCGAGAACGCCTTCTTCTTCTACCAGAAGCGCCTCGAGGAGCGCCTCAACACCCCCTTCGTCACAAACGTCTACTTCAAGCCCGACACCGCCCGCCGCATAGACTGGGACCTGAAAGTCAAGGAGCGCCAGGGCACCGTCGCCAAGGAGCTGGGAGTGTACCACGGCAAGAGCGCCGCGGCCTGGGACGACGAGCTGAAGGTGGGCGACGGGCTGAGCTCCCAGGAGAGCATCGTCGGTGCCATCCTCAAGGACGCCGAGGCGCGCGTGTCGGACGACGCCGAGATCATCCCCGCGGCCGACGTCCAGCCCGTCGAGCCGCCGAATGAGCGGCTATCCGAGGCGGACAAGAAGGCCGATGTCAAGAGGCTGGACCGCGCGATGGACAGGACCCTCTATCTGGTCGTCAAGGGCAAGGACGGCTGGTCCTTCCCGGCCGATGTCATCCCCGATGGCGAGAATCTGCACCAGGTAAGTGCCCTCTTTTTCTGCAGAACCACCTGATTTCCTTCTGTAATGATGAGAGAGAATGAAGAGTGCTGACAATTCGTCCGACAGTGCGCCCAAAGAGTCCTCGACCAAGCTGCCGGGGTCAACATGAACACCTGGATTGTTGGCCGTGTCCCTGTTGCCCACACGGTCAAGGAGCCCGTCCGTGACGCAAGCGGTGGTGTCAAGAGCAAAGGAGAGAAGACATTCTTCCTCAAGGGACGCATCATGGCTGGCCAGGCGGATCTCAAGGACAACCCATTCGGCTACACCGACTTCAAATGGCTAACGAGGGAAGAGCTGGAGAAGGAGTTATCGCCCCAAGTCTTCAAGGGTGTACGCAACATGATGTCGGATAGGTAGTGGTGGATTTGAGTCGCAGGACGCCTGTAATATTAGCACCCATGTATACATTCTGTACACAAAATTTATCAACGTGGTCCGATACTGGTATTTGTATTTATCTAGACCATCACTTATTATACCTGCCCACGAGGATTCGGGACAGGGGGGCTTGTCCATGGCTAAAATGTGTATTGAAGTATCTGTCTCCAACTAATCGCAAACTAACAAACTGTGATGCTTCACGTTTGCATGAGTCTGGCAGGGAAAAGCAATAAGCCGCCAAGTTCCATTGTAGTCCTCATCTAACCCTTTCTCATCAACAAAAGCCGCAGATTCATGTAGAAAATATAATTCGGCCATCTGCTCCACCCCAAGTTTCAATGGAATTCCATATGCGAAAACGCCCAACGCCCTTGTCTGTCCTACAAATATGAGTCGCAAAATCCCAGGTCGCCACGTACCCAAAGATTCAAAGAACAAGTTATTAAATAACAATCTTTTAATTGGGTCTAGCCTGGCCCTCCACAAACTCCAGAGCATCTTCAGTGCTGACACAGTTGATGGAACTGGTCTTGTTACGGAACGTCACACCGTAGCTCTTGTCCGCTACGTAGACAATCTCGGGGCGGAAAGTTGTGCAGATGAATTGAGTACCAATCTCATCAGAGATGGACTGCAGAAGGTCTGCGACAGCTGTTCGGTACTGGGCATCGAGATTGGCATCAACCTCGTCGAAAATGACCATGGGGCTGCTTTCTGTGGCTTGCAGCGCAAAAATGAGGCACAGAGCACACAAACCTAAAGAGAGATAAAGCCGTTAGCAGTCTGCTCACGTAATAGGAGTTTGGGATACACTTACTCTTCTGGCCACCACTGAGTTGCTGGATTCTCTGCTGCTCGTCAAGGTGCTTGGAATTGAAGGAGACGCTGATGCCCACACCAATGTAGTTCTCTACAGTGCGGCCTGCTTCTTCATCCGACTCCTCCGGCTCCTGTCGTCGGTCGGTCCGGCGCTGGATAATGAGACGGCCGTGCCCAGCTGGCACGAGCTTGCCAAAGATTGTTGAGAATTCCTTCGAGACTTGCTTGAAAGTACGCTCGATGGCTTCGTCTTTCCGCTGGTCAAGATGTTTGACGAGGTCCTCGATGGAGGTCTGAGACTGGTCGAGCTCAGTGCGCCGCTTCATCAGCTGATCCTGCTGAGATGTGAAGCTGTTGTATTGCTCAAACGCCTTCTTGTTGACATGTTTGTACTTCTTTAGGGCCTCATTCACCCTCTTCAGTCTCGAATTGATCTAAGCACGTGGCGAGGTTAGATAGGTTTCATAACACGTGGGATGATAATTTTCCAACATACCGTTTTAGTTTCCATGTTCTCATACTTGTCAAACGCTTCCTCTGGAAGAACACCAAGGTCACGAATGTTCTTGGCACACTCAGCCAGCTGGTTCGTGAGAATACTCTTTTTTGCGAGGTTCTTCTCGACTCGTTTCTGTTGCTTCTCGATCCGGTGTGAGATCTCGGCTTGCGCTTGCTCATGTTCGGTTTTTTCATTGACGTTCTGGTCCATACGGTGGCTTAGCTGCTCCATTTTCGCCTCGATCTCTTGGAGCTCGGCCTCAACGGCCTCAGAGGCCTTTTGCGCCTTCTTGAGCTCTCGCTTGACCTCCTTCAGGCCTTCCGAAGTAGATCCTGAAGCCAAGGCATCAAAGGCCTGCCCGTTCAGCTGATCAAGCTTGAGCTGAAGATTCTGGCGGAGATCAGCTTCAAGAACCTGCTTTCTGCTCTCGAGTTGCCTTCGGGCGTTGCTTATCTCGCTCCACTGCTTCTGCAGCTGTTGCGTTTGGGTACTACATTCTTCCAACTCTCTCTCCTCAGCCGCCGTCAGGCTCTTCTTGAAGTCTGTTGTCAGTTCTTGCTCATGAGCCGAGCGATCGTCAATGAAACCACTCATGTTCATGTCGACCGTATCGCGCCGCCTGATGGCAGCGTCAAGGCGGGCGCGAGAGTTCTCGAGGTAAGAGGTCATGTTCTCCAGCTCACGTCTAGAAGGTCCGAGACCATCATCAGCCTGTCGCAATCTCTGATCAGCCTTGGACAGCTCCGACATGGCATTCGTAATTTCCTGATCCTTGGCCTCGATCGATCGGCGTATGTCGCGAGACTGCTGTGCGAGCTTCTCGTACTCATCTCTCCATTTATTAGCAGCCCTGACGGCCTTGAGACGCGACTTTTGAGGATCAATCCAACCACCACTCAACGCACCACGCCTGTTGGTAGTATCACCTTCGGGTGTAATGCTATCAACACCGTGACTTCTTGAATACTGTGCTGCAACTTGAAGATTTGGACAAACGACGGTATTTCCGAAGATGTGCTGGAATGCCCTCTCAAACTTTGAATCATAAGTGATCTTACTGAGCAACGGCACCGCGTCATGAGCCCTAGGCATATTCACGGGTCGAGGTCGAAGGCGGGAGAGCGGCAAGCAGGTTACACGTCCACCATGCTGTTTATGGAGGATGTTGAGCAAGTAGCTTGCTGTTTCCTCGTTGTCAACGACGTAGTGGAACAGGCGACCGCCAGCAGTTTGCTCCACGGCCACTCTGTAGGCATCATTAACTTCAAGGAGATCGGCCAAAGGTCCATATGTCCCAGGAATGTCTTGTTCCTGTTTTAGTCGCCGGATCGTGGCTAGACCTCGAGCAACCTCCCGGTCCATTGTGTGTCTCAGCTCCTTCTCGGCCTGATCCTTTTCTTGCCTAGCGTTTGATATGTGCGAGCCGAGCTTTTCGTCTTCACGTCGAAGTAGCTTTCGCTCATCGTTGAGACGTTCAAGTTTGTCTTGCGCCTTGTTAACCTCTTCTACCAGCTTTGCCCTGTCACCACTGTAATTCGCCAGGTTGGCTCTCAGCGCAGCGACATTCTCCTCTGCCCGAGCGATAGCATCGGTGACTCTTGCAACTTCCTCGTCAGCGTCGATCTTGTTGGCCTTTTGCTCCATGATAGTATTGGAAAGTTCCTCAATCTCACTTCTGAGGAACGCATCGCGCTCTGACTTGTTCTTGAAGCGAGAACCCCGATTTTGCTTGGCGAAAAGCCTGGTGCGCCGACCTTCGACACTGTCCAGATTTCTGCGAACCTCGTCCTCTTCGGCCTTGGTTTTAATATAGTTGGGGTTGATTTGCGACAATTCCTTCTCCTTGGCAGCAATCTCGGCCTGAACAGCTGCGAGCTCTGTGGAGTACTGTTGTTGGGCCGACTCTTGTGCAGACTGTCCATCTTTGAGGGTTTTGGCCTTCAATTCCACCTTGGCAAGGTTCTTTGCGCAATCGCGACGATCTTCTTCCAGCTGCCGTCGATCAATTTGAAGCAGCTCCATCTCTCTTTGCAGTTTATGCATCTCGGCATCCAGCTTGGAAATAGCTTTCTTGGTCTCGAGCAAATCTGAGCGGCTTGAGTCTGTTGTGTCAATGCCGTCTTGACGAGCTGAGTCAATTTCCTCGAGTGCTTCTTGAATCGTAACCTGCTCGCGGTAATGGTAGGCATACTCAAGGCAACGCCTCTCGCGGTCTTTTTCCTGGTAGCCCCGCAATTCTTCCTTCTCTTCCTCGAGCTCGCTGAGGCGCTCTTTGATGTACTCGAGAAGTTCATCAATCTTTTCCCGCTTATTGTTGGTCTCGTTCATGATCTTTAGCGACTCTGCACGACGAGTTTCGTACACCTGTGTTCCGGCAACTTCCTTAAGGAGGTTAAGCCTTTCTGATTCCTTCATGTTGGTCAAGGCGGTGACGCGGCCTTGGGGTACGATGTAGTATGGGTTTGATCTCGAAAATCCTGCAGCTTCGAGGAGATTCATCACGTCTGTCTTGGTAACCACTTTGCGATCGACCGAGTATTCGTCCTTCTTCAGCCCGATGGTTCGGCGCAATGTAACCTCCTTGTTGCCAGTAGGAAAACGGTCGTCGCTATTGTCAAAAATGACCTCGACGTAGGCTGACATGACAGCGGAGCCAGAGCCTTCGTGGAGGAGACCCTGGCGCTCCTCTCGGCTCATCTGGGTGTAGGCATCGCTAAGGACAAACCGAATAGCTGCGAAGAAGTTACTCTTCCCAGATCCATTGCGACCAACAATTACGTTTGTTTTGGGCGAAAATGGCTCGATGACGGTCTGGTCCTTGTAGCTGCAGAAATTTGGTCAGCGATCGCGACAAGATAACGGCGTGTGTTCCGTGGGCAATCGCACCTTTTAAAGCCTTGGATGATGATCTGTTTGATATACATGGTGAGTTTTAATTGCCACTGGTGTGTGGCATAAGGACGGCAGAAGTGTCGACAATCTGTAGATCTGCCTGCGCTCGGTCGAGCGTGGTTGCGTGTGGTGAGGAGCAATTCGACGCGTCCGACCCAAACCGCGATTAAGTGTTTAACCTGGAGGATGTGGGTTGCCCACTTCCAGGCGCGCCTTCCTACCTAAGCTGAACGCACTTTCCTGTTGTACCACGTGCAATTTGGCTACCCTATACCTTGCTAGGTACGGTCTGTTGACGGGATGTCTACTTGGCTGCATCAGCGCATCTCGTGCATGTTAGTCAATGAACAGCCATGAGATTGCTATTATGTATTATTTGTCGTATTTTAGATGAGAATTGTTGGGTGGCCAGACAACCGCGCCCTTGTTTTATCACCATCTTCGCCATGGACTTGGTGATCGTTCTTTGGTATGTACCAGGGATAGCCCAGCTGGCCAGTGTCCCGAGAAGAGCTACCCCCACGAGGTACATACAGCATGATGATCAGTCCAATCGTGGCCGGTTTGCTGCATGGGAAGTTATCACACCATGCAGCTCTCGTCGACCATTCAAAACGACACAGTATTTTATCACATACGACACCACAACACCAGACACACCCACCATCACTAGGGTCAAGTCTCGTGTTAAGTCTCGACCGACACTGGAGCTTCTGCTCGCACGGGCAGCTTCACCAGCAACCAGGATCATTTCTCGAGCTTGTAC